TTTTTTAATCCAAGACACCAAAGAGGAAAAAAGATGATTTTATTAAAGGGGAATAAGACTGCTCCCTCCAGTCATTTTTTATAAAACATAGGTAAGTCACACACTGGTGGGAAAATGCTAACAACACATACATCTGACAAAGGACTTACATCCTTTCATAAATAATTCCAACTAGTCTGTAGTGAGACAAGTAACTTAGTGAAAAAATGGTCAGATTTGACAGATGTCAGGAGAAAAATGCCAGTGAGCATATGAAAAGGAGTTAATCATTAGACATCATGCAAATTAAAATCGTGATAATAATAGAACAGGGACTGTCACAATTTCATATAAATGCACATAAAACAGCACAATAACCACTTTGAAGAACTTTTCAGACTCATAAAATTAAACATAGGCTTGTAGCATCCCATCTGGGTTTGTGTGTGTGTGTGTGTTGAAAACAGAATAAGGGGAAGGAGTTCAGGGGGAAGTCAGAGGCTTTTTAACAGCAAACACAAGAAGCCAGAGCAGGAGTGATATTAGATGGGAAGGTGGTAGCATGACATGGACATCTGCACTGTGTAAGAGGTTTTCTTTTTTTTAAAAAATATTTATTCATACAGAACTGGGGTACTGGCCAGAGATGTGGAGAGTGAGAGGATTCACCAGTGACAGAGTGGGGAGCAGAACAGGTAGATAGACAAAGTACACTGCTGAGGGGAGCAGCGGGGTGGGTCAGGAGAGGTCTGCCTCGCCATGTGGTCACCTCCCGGGCAGACGGGGATCGAACTCATGCTGAAGTGGCTTTAGCTTCTTGGTGCTGTGCTTTAACCTGCTGCACCACCAGGGAGGGCCCGAGGTTTTCTTTTAACTGCATATACATTACTTGCATGATTTAAAAGAAAAAATTACTCATACAGAACTGGGTTAGAGGCCAGAGGTGCAGGGGTGGTGAGAGTCCTCACCAGAGACAGAGCGGGGAGCAGAACAGGCAGATTGACAAAGTACACTGCTGAGGGGAGCAGCAGGAGAGATAGGAGAGGTCTGTTGTGCTATGTGGGTCACCTCCGGGGCTGGGATGGAACCGGGACTGAGGCAGTTGCAGCCCAGCTTGCAGTGCTGTGTCCTAACCCATTGTGCCACAGGGAGGGCCCACTTGAATGATTTTTAATGTTGAAAATATACCAATAGGTTCTTCAAAAATCCCCAGTAATTCTCTACCCTGTGACTATGCAGGTGTCTCTCTTCCTTTTGCTTTTTCCTAATATACCTATCCTTTTAAAGTATAGGAAAAAAAGCAAAACAAAAAAACCAATCCAAAACCTAAACATGACCCAGAAATTCTAAGAGAAATGAAAACATGTCCATAAAGAATATAACTTTATCATTTCTCCAAGCTGTAAATAACCCAAAATGTTCATAAATTAAAGAAAGGGTAAACTAGTGGCTGTTCACGCACTGGAGCAATACTGAGTAGTAAGAGGAAATAACTGGATATATGCAACAACATGGATGAAACTCACAGACATTTTGAGTAACAATGTCTGGTGCCAAAGTGAACATATTGTAAAGTTTCATTCATATGAAATTCAAGAACAGGAACAATTAATCTCTGGAGGCAAAAATGGTTGTTGCTAAGGGCAAAGGAGAGGCATCCTTTCACTGGAAAGCAGCACAAGGAGACTTTCTGGAATGATTAAAATGTTCTTTATCTGAATTGGGGTAAAGGTTACACAGATCTAAGGATTTATCAGAAGTGATAGGACTATAATCCTACAATCTATGCACTTCACTGTACAAATTTTACTTGAATACCAAATTTTTCCTTAACAGGTTAGTATTCTACAATCTGATGTGTAGGTGGGTCCTCTGCCACTTCCAGAATTAACCACTCTGAGCTATATGGTGACTTCCCTCCATTTACTATAGTTTTGTCTTTTGAGTCAATTTTTTGAACATACATTGTTTCTGAATTTACTAAATTTTCTGGTGAAGTCCAGCTTGTAAGAGTTTATTTTCTTGTCGTAAATTTCTTACTAAGAACACGATTCATCATGTTATACAAATAAAAAAAGTGGTGTTACTCTGGGGCCCTCCCTGGTGACACACCAGGTTAGAAGTGCAGCACTGAGAAGCTAGCTGTAGCCACTGCAGCCACTACAGCACAAGTTCAATCCCCAGCCAGGGAGGTGACCCATAGGGCGCAGCAGATGGCTCCTGTCTCACCTGCTGCTCCCCTCAGTGTGCTTCATCACTCTGCCTTTTCTGCTACCAACTCTGTCTCTAGTGAATTATTCACTGCTCCTGACTCTACCTCTAATGAATTCGTTCATAACCCCCTGCACCACTGGCCTCTACCCCAGTTCTGTATGCATAAAA